GTCGTTTTAGATGCTATTAACTGTTTTGGTGCTGAAGGGATTCTTTTAAACTTCTAAGAGCAATGTTATATAGACTGTCTCGGGCACGACAATTGGTTCTTTCGGGCTATGACGAAAATGCATGTTATGTAGAGTGTCATGTCATAATTGCCAATTTCGTATTTCTACTATTTTTTGGCTGTGTCTAAATTTAAAAGAAAATATAGATATGCTCACTTTTAATTTGCTACCAAAAATAACCAGCAAGAAAAAAAAACTCATTAATTAGATTACCGGTTTATAAAATAGGCTGTGTTGATTCCTGCCATTTTTTCTTCAAAACGCGTTAAAATTATAGTAAATTGCTCCTAAAAGGCGTGAATTCTTCATTTATTACTGGACAACACTGCTTTGCCTAAGTGCCGTGGCACAAATAGTCCGGCTTTCATGCCGAAATTTGAACCAACATATTGTTTTTTTCTCTCAATCTCACTCTCAATTTTATAATTTGCATTGAAAACAACAATAAATTTACTCATGCTGTGTCCGAGACAGTCAACATAACATGGCCCTACGACGGCAAAATCTTTAGTAATAAATAGATTTTATAATCTCAGGATTTGATTTTTAGCATTTAAAACATTTATGCAGTGGTTTTTAAGTAACATACATATATTGAGACATTTCTTTTACTCAAGTTTGGTGCTATTAGCTAGTACTATTGCTTATTTCGACAGTTTTTTATATTGTTACCAACCACAATGAATTTTTTTGCCAAGTTTTTATCGAATATGTATCTTCTTTTGTCAACTTAATAGTGCAATAAAATAAAAATTACGATTGATCGGTTGCAAAGAAAGTTATGATTTTACTGTCTATATATTACAACAATTTTAAATGCACTCGTATGCCTAAATGAATCATTTGAACTGCCGTCAACGACTAATTTATCCTATTGTCTTTAAAGACGATGATTTTGTACTTTTAAGACAATTAAGTGCTGATTGATTTTGAATGCGTTAGTACAATATATGAGGATCTAATAACATTCATGATTACTATATATTTGTGCTCTAAAATTCAAATGGCAAATAATATGGAATTGATTGAGCAACAACGATTTATAATGGTAGCACTTAACCACTCCTCCGTATAAAAAAGATAAAACAAATTTTTTTTCCTACTTAATCATTTATTATAGACGTCAAACCTATTTTGCTATACGCAACTTAAATGTTATATTATAATATAAAATGGTGTAAAATTTATATTAAGTTCAATCTGTCGACGTCGATACCCAAAATTCCTTTTATCGTTTGATTGATCTCGCTGGTGCACATCTTCTGCTGGAACTCAAATTTCTCACTAATCTAATAAGTTCGTCGTTATATACTCTTAAAATATGGTTATGGATTGTTTTCTTGTTTTGAATTACATAATTTTTGTTGCCATCTAAATACGTTTTTCCAATACTTTCATTTGGTGATTCTAAAAATTGATTGGGTTTTGTTATGTTTGACTCTGTTTGGAACAATGTTATTATTTTAAAAATTTTTAATGTGAGAATTTTGATATTCTCACATTACTTTTCTATATATTTATACAGTTAAAAACTACTTTTTCAATAAATTTAGACAATATTAAAATATCTTGATCAATATTGGCTTCCTTTTTTTCCAATAAACTGAGTATATATAAAAAATATTTTAATGCTCCCCCACATCAAAAAAACGGACAGAAATTTTTAAAATTATTGTGAACTTATCAATAGTTTCGATAAATGTTGAAATTTTGGACTAAAAAACTTAGTTTGGACAAGTTGAAAAATATATTATATTTATGAATGTATTAGAGTGTATGAATAAATTTTACAGTTATAAAATTATATTATTTATATTCTAAAAAATATGATTATTTTCACATGTATGAATTATCATATATAATTATTATTGTTATTGTTTATTTTCATTTAATAGCATTTAACAATTTCAATATTAGCTTTTGATTTTCATTTGAGTTAAGACGTGACTTAACTGAAATATCAAAGATTAGGGCAATTAGTTTTAAGTGTACATAACTGTTGTTTGAGGGTCATTATGTTGTTACGTCATAAACCCAATTAGGTAAGGTGTTTAAATGTCTAGTATATTGCCCAGTGGAGCATAACGTTTACAATATTTGCAATGAAAAAAGTATGTTATTAAAATTATATGACGTTCAAATAACATTCAAAAGCAAAAGCAAAAAAAAAGAGGGAGAAAGAGGGAGAAAGAGAGAGAGAGAGAAAATAAAGTTTGGCATTTATATCAATTGTTTATCATATAGGGGCCATGTTATGCAGAGTGTCTCGGGCACGGCAAATTACGCTCTTTCGGGCTATGCCGAAAATGTATGTTATGCAGAGTGTCACATCAGTATTGCCAATTTTGTATTTTTACTACTTCTTGGTTGTGCCTTAATTTAAAAGGAAATTTAGATAAGCTCACTTTCAATTTGCCACCAAAAATAACTCGCATGAAAAAACTCATAGAGGCTGTAATAATGTTAATTTATTATTATATTATCTTATAATAATTGTTAACAGTACTTACGCGTTTCTTTAAAATCGGAAAGTGTAATAATTATCTTATTAGTGATTTATAAAAAAAATGCTGTGTTGCTTACTGCCATTTTTTCTCCAAAACGTACTAGACTTGTAGTAGTTTGCTCCTAAAAGGCGCAAATTTTGAAATTTATTACTAAACAACACTGTTTTGCCTTAGTGCCGGGGTACAAATACGCCGCCGGCTCTCATGGCGGAGTTTGAACGGCCATATTGTTTTTTCTCTCATTCTCAAATTTAAAAATTGCATTGAAAACAACAACAATTGTACTCATGCCGTGCCCGAGACACTCTGCATAACATGGCCCTAACATGGCCCTAGGTTGACAAAATTCATTGCATTTAATTTAGATTGAAGAAAATATTTGGAAACTGACAGAAGTGAGCAGAAAAACTTTAAAATTTTATTGATGTGATTATATTAAAAAAATAATACCTCTTTAAAATAATTAAGAGTAATTAATACTAAATATTTAAGTCGATGAGGAATTCTCCAGAAAATTACATAAACAATATTCTTCATAAAAGGTTCCTTCATGTCGCAATAGTATATTGTAGTAACACGCCAATGAATCAATTAGGAATATAATTCAGAAGAATAACATTCTGAAGAATTTTATCTCGAAGAAGAATTTCTAGAATATGAAAAAGAAAAACACGAATATGAAACGAGAGCTTTCGTGAAAATAAAAATTAAAATGCCCTGCGAAAATTCTTTGGAACACTTACGGTCTCCCCACAATAGGCTTAAAAAAATAATATCGTTTACATCAATATTATGATTTTACAAGACTTACAAGAAGAAGCATTTAAAAAACCAATAGAAATAGAAATTGAAATAGAAACAGAGCTATAATTATAGAATAATACCTTTGTAAATTTTATATAGTTTTAATACATTGTAGGAATTGAATATTATTTTATGTTGATTGAAGACATCATTCTGAGACTCAAAGGTAAGACGATGTCGATGATTATATTAAACTTCTAACCTGTTTCTCCCAAATTACTATAGAATATTATTGCAAAATCAACATAAAGAGTAATCATATTTATCGAGTTGATTTTTTTATAAATATGTGTGTGTATATGTATGTTTCTTACAAACAAAATTTTTCAAGAATTCGTACGTTTAGACAGAAATTAAATCAAAAATTTATCATTATTGATATTTGCTGTGCATATAGCAAACACAAACAAACGTTTTTATTTAATCTATAGTGTTTAAATGCACTAAATCAGTGATATGGCGGGGAAAAGTAAAAGTAAAGAATCAAATAGACCTGGACTAAATAGTTCTCAAGATAAGTTTATTCCAAATATATAGAATTAATACATGTTATTTAGTGGGCGCGAAGAAGGTATGGAGTTCTGAGCAACAATTATGCTCATGGTCTTATATAATATAATATAATATATAATATATATAATATATTATATAATATATAATATATATAATATATATTATATAATATATAATATA